ATCATTAATGTTTATACTTAATATTTTATTTTATTCTTTAGTCTTTACTCTGGCTAAACTGGCGAAAAAGGGTGTGCTTACTTCTTGACTTTAATCAATTTAGACGCATTTGGGTCTGGGAGACCCCACACTGTTATGGATGGCTCACATTTCGCAGCCGAGCAACTACTCAAGTTCTACCTAACTGTAGGGGAAATTTCAAAGTTCTTTTACACCGCAGGCTCGTCTCTATAATGTCAAGGACGCCGTAATACCAGGCTCTTGAATATTTAGCCGGGACTGTCAGACCCAAGTGTGTACTGGTAGGGTTAGAATAGTACGTTTCATTCAAGTGGTTTAAAAACCGCGACGGCTAAGCGACTAAAAAATCGCCCGTGCGTGTTAGCCATTAATATTTTTTATAGACATTTTTTTACAATTATTATGTGAATTATATATGTTATATACATATATAAAATATGTTATATTATTCAGTCAATGATATTTCATAGGTATTTCAGTAATTAATAATAGTTCAATTAATTTTATGTCTTCATACGTCAATAGTAATCTTCACAGATATTTTTAATATAAAATTAACTTATTAATGCGCGTTGATCTCGTAAACTAATCTCTTTGATTCTGATGGCAATCGATTCAGAATACTCAATTCTAATAATGAATGTATCAATAATTTCCTGATATGTAGAGGGTATTCTGAAATTATCTTATAACTGGGGTACAGTGGTGTTACAGGGGCATCACAGGTTATGAAAATAATCCCTGTTTTATTTAGAAGCATTCATTTTTTTAAGCTACAGCTGCACGAAGGTCGTTCGACAGAGTAAAGCATCGTCAGAAGTCAAAAAATCTTTACAACCGTTTTTCTCTTTTGTTTTCGATAATTTGATACATAATTAGTTTAGTCAGTTTCTTTAAATAACAAGAAAGTCAGGTTATCTATATTTAAAATTCACAAAATTCTTGTCCTCAACAATAATGTCTACGAAAAAACCAACCTGTCAAATCCTCATGGCGGTTACTAGTACGCCTGCACTAGTGCATTTTTCTTCGGATCAGAATATTTTATACATTTAAACGTCGATGACTCGTCCTTCGTAACACATAAGGAAGACTAGGCCGAACTAGTAAGTGTATGAATTAATGGAAAACGCGAAAGAAAAATGAATGTAGATGTTTATTTACTTCACCGCTGTGTGTATATGTATGTGCACTAGAGTGGTTCAAATTGGCTATTTTTATTTAGAAAGCAACGATCCTCCCAAATCGTTTCCAAATACAAAAAAAGTAGACACGTATTTTTTTTCTTTTCGAAATTTTGATTTTTAATGGTGCCTGTCGAGACCTCAAATTTACATGGGAAAATGCATAGCAAAAAGACATTTTTTGGTATTTTTCGAAATTGTTCGGTGTTTGGGAAAACGTAAGATTAAAGTTATAGGACTTGTAGAGGACTTTTCAAGGAAGAATTTGACTTATTGTACACATGGATTTGACGCGCCCAACCCACCCCCACAGTGCCCTGAAAACTCTCTTAAATGAAAAAATATACATTCTTCAGAAAAATGACCCTTCTAATCATTTCATTCTCTTTTTTCTCATAGAAATCATTACTATAAGTCTAATGGAATGTTTATAAACATTTGTCAGTTAATTTCCATTTATTTAAACAAATTCTATTTATTTAAATAATTCGTTTTTCTCGAAAATCCGTCTGAATTCTGTTTTCTGAGTTCGAAATAGCAGTTTATTATCTTAGAGTGACATTATTCACTAAAAAATTTCTTCCTATTGTTTAAACAATCAATTATTATTCATTTTCAACTTTTTTTTTTAATTATGGTAGAAAAGTCAGCTTTTTTTGTGAAATTAACTTATAAATTTCATGTTCGAGATATCTTGCCTATATATCTAATAAACCCACATTTGTTTAAACCATTTTTTTACAATTCACCTAAAATTCATTTTTTTAGATCCGTCTGGCCAACTGTTATTCTCAAGTGACATCATTTATATTTTAGGATGATTTCCATTGTTTAAATAATAAAATATTATTCGTTTTCAATATTTCATCAAATTATACTGAGAAGTAATTCTGTTTTTTGGTAACAGAGTCATAATGTAATATGTTCGTTAACCATTTCTGAATGAATTTTCTCTCACAAAATTTGGATATTCCTTTATTCTACAAATAGTTTTTCAATTGTCTACTTTGACTTCAACGATTTGATAACGAGAGATGAGGATCAAAAACAATCCTTATTGCAAGTTGCTAGAGAGTACAGGGAACAGTTTCCAGACAGCAACAAATCAACATTATCTTGCAACACACAGTGCGAATTGCAAAAAAAATTGTTTAAACAAATAGAATTTGTTTAAACAAATGTGGAGTTATTAGATAATATAGGCAAGATATCTCGAACATGAAATTTGTAAGTTAATTTCACAAAAAAGCTGACTTTCCTACCATAATTAGAAAAAAAGTTGAAAATGAATAATAATTGTTTGTTTAAACAATATGAAGAAATTTTTTAATGAATAATGTCATTCTAAGATAATAAACTGCCATTTCGAACTCAGAAAACAGAATTCAGACGGATTTTCGAGAAAAACGAATTATTTAAGCAAATAGAATTTGTTTAAACAAATGGAAATTAACTGACAAATGTTTATAAACATTCCACTAGACTTATAATAATGATTTCTATGACAAAAAAGAGAATGAAATGATTAGAAGGGTCAATTTTCTGAAGAATGTATATTTTTTCATTGAAGGGTAGTTTTCAGGGCACTGTGAGGGTGGGTTGGGGGCGTCAAATCTATATGTACAATAGGTCAAATTCTTCTTCGAAAAGTCCTCTACAAGTCCTATAACTTTGATGGCAATTAATTCAGAACCCTCGATTCCTATAGTGGATGTATCAATAACTTTTACTCGCATACAGCCGTTCATAAGATATTTGAGTCGAAAGACGGGTGTAAGAGATACTTCGAGTAAACGGTGTTACGTATATCGACCTTCATTCCTAAACAGAAGAATAACGTAGCCAACAGGGAGCATAATTGCAGACTCAGCACGTTACCCAGTGCATTGCCCGTGCCACCTACCCAGCTGGTTAGCCAAGTGCATTCCTTACGTTCAGTCTCGTTGATTTTGATGGCAATTAATTCAGAACCCTCGATTCCTATAGTGGATGTATCAATAACTTTTACTCGCATACAGCCGTTCATAAGATATTTGAGTCGAAAGACGGGTGTAAGAGATACTTCGAGTAAACGGTGTTACGTATATCGACCTTCATTCCTAAACAGAAGAATAACGTAGCCAACAGGGAGCATAATTGCAGACTCAGCACGTTACCCAGTGCATTGCCCGTGCCACCTACCCAGCTGGTTAGCTGAGTGCATTCCTAACGTCCTAACCGTACCTAGAGCATCAGCAAAAATCGACTATATAAGCAGCCAAAATCATGGCACAGACGCTGAGAAAATCATTCAATTTCACGCGTAAAAGATCGGATTGCACGTTGTCACTCGTGGCTCTAACCGTTAGAGTATTAGATTCAGTGTAGTATTCGCAATCTGGCCTAGGTACGGATTCGTTATTACATACCCTAGGGAACAAGCTGGATCGGTTACCGGGCAAAATTGAGCTGCATAGACTACTCTTTCCAAATATCGTATAGTTTTGATAGATTTCTGTTCCACCAAATTTCATCTTGCCTTAACCTCACACACAGTTAGGTTTTGTTATCCGATATTTCTCATAATAGAAACACTGTACACGACAATTAATAGAAAACTTTTAAATTGATTGTAACAATATATCGTAAACTCACATTTTACTTGCGTTTTTAAATATCTCTTACCCATCCTCAACATTTCAGAGAATATCTACCCACGTTGGAATAGCAAGGCGTGTTTCAACACCTTAAACGAGCAGCGAACCCACCATTGAGTGCATTCTTACCGCTCGGAATTCACTCAAATATTATTCACGTTACCTCCGGTCGTTTCTTTTTTTTTGGTTACTTCTAAATTTTTGTTATCAAATTTAAAGGCCTTGCTAGCCACTACGGCCTACGTAACAACTTTAATCTTACGTTTTCTCAAACACCGAACAATTATTCGAAAAAAACCAAAAAATGTCTTTTTCGCATGCATTTTCCTATGTGAATTTGAGGTCTCGACAGGCACCATTAAAAATTAAAATTTCGAAAAGAAAAAAAATACGTGTCCACTTTTTTTGGATTTGGAAACGATTTGGGGGGATCGTTGTTTTCTATCATCACAAACATTTTTGCAATGCATTTTTGAACCACCCTAATGTGCACATATAGAAATGGATGAACAGCAGCCCTAAATATTTTGTGAGACCATCAGTATAAAATATGTCACTACATTATAGAAGAACCGAAAGAGATATCTTTAATATACATTGAGAATGATTGTAAACACAGTTGATCTCTTAAGTACCCCTGATTGAACATCACTCAAAACTGATCTCTAATTGCAATCTACTATAACGTCCTGTCTCCTATCTGAAAGATAAGACACAAAACATTGGATAGGAAGTATTTATATATTTATTATTTTAGACACTGATAGGTTTTTAAAATAATAAACTGAACTTAGCATAACGTTAACCAAATTATGGTATAGCAGTTGCTCTATTTCCGTAAGTTCATTGTCCTTTCTCATCGTCGATTATTCCAACTTTTAAATAGTCTACTCCTTTGCCGATAGATGTCTCATTATTATTTGATAGCATAGATATGTCGTCCGTGGTATTATCTACAGTCGATAATTTAGCTACATATTCAGTGTATATCGTTTGTATGCAGTGACATACATATCGATTGATCATTACAATTAGTAGAAATACTTCCGTTAACCAATTCTGTCGTTTCCGTGAAAATAAATTGAAACAGCTCTGGTGTTCTTGTGCCATTCAATGTAATTTCGTAGATTAATGAAGAGACGAACTTACCCGAGTGTTGAACAGTTGTTGTTAAATGGGTACGGTGATTAAATTCGATTACTTCACTGACCGTAATTGGTGTTACCGTTCTTATCGAAAAAACAATAGGCGATAAGTTCCTATGATGATCGTTCGTCCAGCGTTACTGTACTGGTAATGCGATTTTCATAGTCAATTTTGGTATAAGGTTGCGATATTTAATGATGTCCAAACTGTCCTTAATTCTGTAGGATATCATAAGTGTACATACATAGATACATACCGCAATAGCTATAGGACTATAGGAGGCACAGAGCCGTTATTAAAAATAGCCTGGGGATATTATTGACCCGTACGTCACTATACTTGGGTTACGGTCTTTCCGGTTGACCGGTTTAGAGGCTATAGCTATTCGCTGGTCTCTGGTACTCTTCGGCTGACCGGAGCGCGTACAATTCAGCCTAGAGAATATGTTACATATCAGCTACGAGCTTGACCAGCTGCTCCAGATGTTTAAATTGATACGAAATAACTGATTAATCAGTCGCTCATCGTAAGTAAACGTCATTCTCTACGGCCTGGGAATTCCTAATGGTAAATTTCCATTAAACGCTGGTTGCTGTTATGTTATAAACAATTGAAAACGATGTTCTTCATAACTTTAATGGCAATTTATTTTCATCACTCGGTAAATCATTATAACACGACGGGTCACCACGTTGGTGAGGAAATCAGGAAAATGTAAGAACAAAAAGCAGGAAGCGAATTCGGAGAGAAGGACGATTAAGAAGAAAGAATGGAATGTTGTCAAGGTAATCAAGTAATTGTGGAAGAGGATATAGCCCGTAGCGATGTTAGCATCGGTAGTATCGGTAACATCAGCAAGCTCGGCCTCGGCCGTGGCCTCGTAGTTGGCGTCGGCGTCCACATTGCCAGCGGAACGCTGGATGTCGATATTCCAGTGCGCGGTGCAGGCTGAGCAGTGGCGCAGTGAAGCACTGCGCGAGAATCTAAAATTATCGGGTAGCCCGAGTCAAGCGTTCGAGCGGTGACAGCTAATCCGGCGTGCGTTCGCGCTCTGTGTACGATAGAACGAGAGAATCAGCGTTGAAAAGAGAAAGTAGAGGGTCAAGAGAGGGAGAGAGCGGAGAAGTTCGAGAAAGAGAGGAGAGTAAAGAGTGTGCCGTACAGTCAAGAGCGGTAGCAAAGCGTCATCCTGGCTGTGCTGTGACTCGTGTGTCTAGTTGAGTAATATTACTTTCGCGGAATACGGGAAACGTTTATCCTCCTGGTAATCGTTATTTTAGTTGTCATCTTCATCTTCGAAGTTTTAATTAGGATTTTCGTTCCCTGCACCGATCCTCGGGCGTAAATTGCACCGATGGCGGATGAGGAGGGTAACACGTGCGAGGACTCGCTTGGTCCGGGAGATATCAACACCGCTTTTGGGAAGAAGTTACGCGGTCGTAAGGGTGCTCTCAAGAAAAAGAATGTCTACATGGTCAAGGGTCATAGTTTCATGCCAAGGTTCTTCAAACAACCGACCTTCTGCAGCCATTGCAAGGATTTTATATGGTGAGTTCGAAAATTTTTACACATTTTGTTCAAATTCTGTTCCTTATTTATTTAATAAATCTGTAGCTCGTTAATACTCTTTCGGACAATACTTAGGTACCTCATACAAGTGAAACTGTTGATCCTACAAGAGCACCGCTTACTTTGACATGCGGTCATTTCGAGTTCCGTTAGCTAGGATAGCGAACGAACGAATGAATGAACGAGCGAATAATCGAACAAACAAGCGAATGAACGAATGTACGAGCGACGCTCTATGTTAACTGATTTAGCCTTGAGAGCCCGCGCACACGAAATTAGACACAGCTTACGTGCCGACAGAAATTCTCCAATGTTACAAATTCCTATAGTGTTTTTCTAGATCCACTCCTATTCTCGTTCTTCTATTATAGCTTAAACGCTATAGGGATTGTGTTTATAAGTATATATCTAAATAGGTTCACCGTTGTATTTCGGAACTCAGAGATGGACACTTGCTCACTTCGTGAGATCAAAAATAGTGGACGCGGAAGCTTTCGATTTTCTCAAGTTCTCTTAAACATAACATGACACGAACGAACTATTAGTTAAAACAATCTTGCGAGAATGCTGTGAGACCTGCTGTTCAGCATATATAATTCCCGAATAACTGGGATAACTAGGTGGCTGTGCAGGTAGATAGATAAATAGATGAATAGGTACATAGATTGAGTGGTTTCCATATTTATCTAACGTACAGAAACATCGTAACTTTTATCATTCTTCGTTTTTCCCATTATTCTTGCAAGCTTCGTTCTACTAAATTTTCCCAGGGCTCACGTCCTTTTCCCGGAAACACTCTCTCGTGTATCGATCCGCGAGAGATCTGGTCACGGACTTGCCAACCACCTTCTTCGATGTTTCTCGTTTGTTCAGGTATGCTTAGCTGCAGTTTTTCATGTTATGTTACGTTACAGATCCTGTAATAATTAAAGAGAATTCTGAAATATCTTGACAGATGAACGCATAACTAAGTAAGCCATATAGTTATATGCATTGTAAATGTCCATCAGAATAGAATTCATCTCTTTCTATTTTTACCTGTTTGTTTCTCGATGAATACGTCATTGCTACACGCTCTATGTACAATAAACTATCGAGAGCATTCCTAAACTTCATTTTTCTAAATGTATCTTTAAACTACTCTCGGCGATGTATACAGGAAATATGAACCAGGAAAAGCTAAAAAATGTTTATCATCTTCAAACTTTCTAAAACCTCTGGGAGCAGTATTTTACAAAATAAAAATTTGAAGACTATTGTACCTTTAACAATTTCTCTAGAAATTCATTCTATTTCTCTTACTTTCCCTAAAGTGTTAAAGGACGTAAATACAAATAATCAAAACAGATTTTAGATCAAATTAAATTGTAATTAAAGTCAAAAGAAATTCATCAAAACAGACTAATAATTAATGTCACTCACCGGAAAAAAATGGTAATATATAATCTGATCCAACATTTTTCTATATGATCATATCAAAAATTTTACAATAATTCACTATGAAAATGTAAATTTTACATATACAATTATCCTATTTTAGCGAATATCATTTGTATAGAATTCAAAGTTTACATAATGTATCTTTGTAAAGTTTTCTATCTGATTAGATAGAGAAACATTTTTAATCTGATTATATATAATTTTATATAATTATATATAATTGTTTATTATCCAGTTCAAATTTTACAGAAAATAAATTAGAGTTTTTAACCTCTTCATTTGCAGGCCAAATTTTGAGTCAGGTGCCACAAATGGTAGGTATAGTCACTGCGTGATGCATATGTGCGTCGCTGCCAGTGAAGCGGTTAATACTATATCGGCAGGGTTAAAATGTTATAATAACTCTACTAACAACAATAATGAACGACTAATGATCCAACAGGTCGTAGCTGTATAATTTAAAGAAAACAGAGCACCATGGAACTAATTTAAATCCGCAGGTAGTTGCTACAGAGCAGTGATTGTGCTGAAAAATTGGGATGTTTGATACGATGGAACTTAATAAAATTAACTATTTAACAAACTAAAGCGATAATTGTGTAGAATAAAAAATGGTGAATAATAAATGAAATTGAAATAATTAAGAAAAATGTTGAACTTTAGAAATGTTTTATTAATAATTTTTTTTCTATTATGAGAATTTCAATATGACTTAGTTTTGATTATAACGAATATAGAACGAAAAATTGGTTCGTAAATTGAGTTAGTGGCTCAATGGGTAGAGTGTCAGATTTCTCAATTCGAGCATCCCAAACATCTTTGGTTCGAATCCACCAATATTGACAACCGCACAAATACCCATTTTTTATCATTACTCTAAATATGTACATCGTATATAGATTCAAACAGGATTAATTTCAGCGATAGAAAGATCTCTTTATAGTTATAAACAAGTGTGTGTTAATATTATTTTACGTACAATCTACGTGACTGTCGTATGCAACACTATATACTAATGTTGTGTTAATCAATTCACCAGTTACATTAATTATAGGGGTTACTATCATTTACTACCAAATTCTTATCATAATTTTATTATTGAAATAATTTATTTAATTATTGAAATAATATATTTAACTTTGTAAAGGGATTAGAACAATCGAAATTACCGCAATTTTTACTATTCTTTTTTTCGGTATAGATGCAAGTATTACTTCACATTCTTTTTTTGACATAACATAATAACTAGAATATAATACTAGTAGACTGTAATCGTATTTATTTCATTATTAATTTTTCATACAAATTTGTAAATTTAATAGAAGTTACAGAAGTTTATAATGTTAGAAATGTTTATGCTTTCTAGATCGCATGTATGCATCATAAGATCTAAAACTGTATATGCATGTGACAGAGTAGATCGTGTATCAAGTGACAGTTATTGAATTGTTGCAACATATGTGCAAGATATATTTTAATAATCCTACAGTCATTTCTATTCAAAGTTCTAATTACGCAGCCTCTTTCGCGCACGAATTTTAAACTTCGTGGTCAGAAAAATATTAACTTCAAAATATTAACTTATATCAGTATAAATAAAGATTCATTCAGTGCTTAATTCGTGCAGAACTTTCTATAGAGCAATGTTCAACCAGTAATAACAATGTTAAGTACAATATAAATACTATGTATAATTTTTTACCTGGGTTGTGGTTATTGCTCTGAGAAAGAAATAATTGCTTTGGCACAACACGACTCTAGTTATTACATTTTTATACTGCATTTTTACTTATATCCCATCATTTGTCCCTTTAAGACTCGACTTTTTTCTACATGTTTTACGTTCAAAATTGTAACTGTATTGAAGTCAGACAGGGTGAAAAATGACAAAAGAAATTGTCATAATTTTTATTTATTCAAAATTAACGTTAAGATCACGAAATACCCGAAAATCACTTTGGGAAATTCTCAGAAAAAAAACCCTCCTTCGTGACAAGTCTTTGAATTTGAGCAAAAAACACCCCTCACGTCAATGGACAATTTCCTGCAGATTCTTATAATGGCTGTTTCAGTACGTATTAGATATTTGTTTCAATTATTCGTGATATAAGTACAATGATGACGCCGGACTCAGTGTATTCTGATGTTATGGTTAATATATACAACAATATTTATGAGGTTTCAAATATTTTACAGATAGCAGCTGAATCTCGGTTGTCTATTTTGAAAAGGAGACTTAAGCATTTTAATTTTTTGAATAGTTATGGGTTCTTAAAAGCGAATTGGCGCGGATTATCTTGTTCTCGAATTGTTTATCAGATATTTCTTTATTAGATTTATCACAATAAATAGCATAAGTTCTTAAGAATACAACATTTTTCTTTATAATCTCGAATAACACTTTTCGTCATTAAAACAATAATTAATACCAGAAAAAACTTGATATCTGTGACGGCAATTGCACCGATAAACAACGCAGAAAAATTACAACAGTAATTTCGAAATTTTTTTATTTAGGAATTTTCTTAAAAAGGAAAATACTAAAGACTCATTGCATGCGCACCGGCCACTGATCCATAACCGAAAAAAACTTACTTCATATCTTAAAATTTCTAAAGTAATCGCAATCTGTTTAATTCCCTGCATGCCATGAATGTGCACACCAAGCGGCAAATTCAAAAGCATTGAACGTCGACAGCGGTAATCGCAATCGGTATTGCGGAAAAGTAGTAACAGTATTTTGAGATATTTTTTATATACGATACGTTAATGAAAACAATAGATTTTATACTAAAGGAATTTTGTATATAATTCTATACCGTTTTGTGTTTGACTTGTTCTTTCCTTGGAAGATACAGAAAATAAGGTTAACCATCAAATACATTTAATAACATTTCAAGAATAAGATGTAGCAAAATGGTGATTTATTGCTAAATACGGACTGGCGAAGATCAATACAAGCACCCTTATAAATAATGACTGAGTCTAATGGAGATCAATCAGGAATCGGCAGAATGAGAAGATATTAATCTAGTCGATTTTCCGTAGACTCTTTCCAGGTGGAATCAATAAATATTGAGTATACCATGTTATCGATAGATAATAAAGGGACAAAAATAAAATCATTTTTCACTTTTAAATTAAAATTTTGGACACTTACCTATCGTAAAGGGAACTTTTGTACGACTTTTCAGGTTTGCCATTTTTTTATATACTTACAACAAATCTTGCCTTTTCTTTCAAGATTATTGTTCAAGGTATTCATACATATATGCAACAGGGTGATATGGAAAATTATGTTGTGATACCTCAATAGAGGCGTCATACAGAATTTTTCCTGTATAGAGATAACAAAAGAACGACTTTAGAAGTGCAAGGATAGTCTAATAAGACTACGAGGACCATGTTCTCTTACGGTTGAGCCGAATTCTCAAGTATTACCTCCTATAAACATATTTCAAAGTCCTACTCCAAAATTCAATTATTGCATTACTTATACATCTGTAGGTGTAATATCCGAAGGCTAAAATACTTTTAGT